ATAATAATAATATCTCTACTCCTCATTCTAACTACGAGAATTAGCCCAGAAGTCGGAGACTTGTGCGGGAGAGGAGGCGGCATATTATTATTACGCAGGCCGCATTTGCGCCCAGGAACGACTTATGTTGGTAGGCCCAAACCATCGTTCAGTGCAGGAATGAGGGAAACCTGGAAAACCTCATTAATTAGGGGGGTGGTCAAATGCCGACCGGTGTCAATCTCTCACATTGACCCAAGCCAACATTGTTCCACCCTACCATACCTGCACAGAGGGTGCCAATCCTTCGTATAAGCATTGTTAATCTACAGTCTACCGGCCGCGGAATTCGAAACCCGGGCAGATCGACACATCGATTTAAGTACTGACGCCTTAAACCGTGCGGCTATCGACCGTATAAATTATTATTATTAATTAGCTAAATATTATTCTCAAAATCCTCCTGCCTGAAAGCACGGACAAAGTCTTCGTCTAAAATTGTAGTTCACTCGATTCAAATTTTCAATTTTATTGCGAAGTTCATTTTCTGCATTTCGTACACGAACTTCGAGGTTTTCAAATTTATGTACTGGTGTAGAATAAACTAGGCCTTTAAGGTGACTCCAAAGGTAAAAATCACACGGATTCAGATCAGGAGAACTCTTCTAGGAAAGTCTTCAGGCAACAATTTTGTATATGGTGCAGCCTTAACTGTTGCTCTCGTAACACTCGCCACACTACAGATTGTGATACATTGCCTTTTAGGCGTCGAGAAATTTGACTTGTGGAAACTGTAGAATTTTCCTCCACAATATTTAAAATCATGTCTTCAGTACCACTTGCTCGAACATATCGAGCTTGACCAGCATCATTATGTCTGGATTTAAATGAACCATTTTCGACATTCAATATTCCTGAAAGTTCATCTGTGTGGCATGCGACGATTTGAAAATTTATCCATATACCGTCTAACAGCCCTCGAATTACCGTGACATTCGCCTAAAGTGAGCAACATATCAGTTCGCCAAAAATAAATTAAATTAATAATTTGAAACAAGTATGATATTTTAAGTGAACTAACACACTTAATTATCAACACTACTGTCAGTATGATATTTCAATAGCTTTAAGAAGTTCCCAGCTGTTGTACTAGGTTTTGCGAGTATAATTCAATGCCGGTCGGGGCATATAGCCCGCGGAGTACTTGTTTCTGGCAACACTGGCAATTTAAAATATAATTTTGTTACTATTTTTTATTACATAATTCAATGCTAGTTGGGGCATCTAGCAATAATTTTTCCCGTTAGGTATCTTTTGCTTACCTAGATTTATGGCATCGAAAAATTGCAAAAAATGCTAATTTATCTGTCAATTTTTTTCAGACACTTGCATAATACCTAGGATCTTCATACTTTTCCCAATTAAACTTTTTAGTGCATAGAATCATCACACCAAATTTCATCCAATTCGGTTCCATAGTTTTTACATAATACCTAATTGTTTAATTTTTTTTTAATTAAAAAATTTTCAAAATCAAATTTCTAAAAATCTAAAGCCTTTGAATACTTAAAAATTTCACAACAAAGAGAAGAGGTCTCAAGCTTTAAAATGATTTTTGAAAAACTTAAATCGGACGATTATGTGAACAGTGGTGATTGTTTAAACATTTTCGCATCAAGAAAATTGTAAAAAAAATTCGTTTCAGATTGAAACTTGATTTAATCGTTAGTTTAGGCAAAAAGAAATAATATTTCCCAAAAAGTATCGGTTTAAAACAACAAGATGATTGTTTAAATAATGATTATAATGTAAAAATAATCAAAAATGGAGTTTTTTAGCTGTACCTACATATTAAAAAGCGCTCCCCAACAGGAGTTTTTGCTTTTATTTATTAGAAATCGCATTTTTTCAATTGCAAAAACGCGGTTGTTAGCGTTATAATAAACGGCCTTACGAGAGTTCATTTGTTTCGTCTTGACTTATATTTTCAAGATATGCAATTGGAAATTGTAATTTCATAGGCTAACCTCCTCAAAACGGCGTATAAACAAATAGAGTAATTTGTTTATAAGGTTTTTCGTTAATAACTTTGCAAAGAATGAATATTTTTTAAAGCCCTTACTCCCTTATAGTTTTGCTGTAAATAAGGGTTAACTTTAACGGGCTATAACTCCGAAAATAATGGGCGGATCATCAGTTTTTTTTAAAATACTCGTCTTTCCGAGTATTTTGAAACCATATTTTAAAATAAAAAAAAATTGACAAAACATTAAATTATTGCAATTGTTTATTAAAAATTGCGAAAATGTTTAAACAATCACTACTGCTCACATAATCGTCCGATTTGAATTTTTCAAAAATCATTTTAAAGCTTGAGACCTCTTTTTGTTGTGAAATTTTCAAGTATTCAAAGGCTTTAGATTTTTAGAAATATGATTTTGAAAATTCTTTAATTTAAAAAAAAATTAAACAATTAGGTATTATGTAAGAACTATAGAACCGAATTGGATGAAATTCGGTGTGATGATTCTATGCACTAAGAAGTTTAATTGGGAAAAGTATGAAGATCCTAGATATTATTCAAGTGTCTAAAAAAAATTGACAAATAAACTAGCATTTTTTGCAATTTTATAAATAATTTTTCCGACTTTTGCAATAACAATAATTATTTTTTAGAATTGCAACTAACTCTATCTTGATTAAAATTTAATTACAAAATTTTTTTCCTCTTTCATTTTTTCTAAAATGAATAGTTGCTAATAATTTTTTGCTATTTTTTATACTTTTTTGCAATAACAATTAAGCCAACGTTTTTTTTTATTTGCATAGAAATATTACCATTTCT